GTCTATGTTGAAGCTTTGCACAGTTCAGTTGTTCACTACAATTCCACTTCAAAAATTAAGAAAAGGTTGAGGGAGAATGGCATAAAATTTGAAGTAGCCCATCAACCATTAGCATGTGGATACCAAACAGAATAGAGAGGTCATCTGCTGACAGTCCTCATGTAGTGAAATTTATTTCAGTATAAATTGCATTAAATATGTATATTTATTCATTTATTCATTCATTCAATTTCTATAGCACCCCATCTGTCAACAACTCAGTTAAAAACTACATTATAATCAAAAATACTAAAACCATTTTAAAACAAAAACATCCAAAATAAATATACACAGCAGCCAAGATATTTGCCCATTTAGCAATACAATCAGGAAATGGGACACTTAACATATTCAGCAACCAAGCTCAGGAATATAGCCAGGTTTTTAGATCCTTACAAAAGGTTAATAGAGATGGGACAGTCTAATATCTAAGGGAAGGATGTTCCCTAGAGCAGGGGCCACTGAGGAAAAAGCCATGCTTCTGTTTCCCAGCAGCCAGTACTCTATGGCTGATTTACATAATTCAGAGACTATTTCCACATATTTTAAATATTTATACGTATTTACACCAATTGTATGCAAGGCAATGTTAATTTTGTTCCCTTTATGGATATTGTATTTTCTATTTTGTGATGGTATTCTTGTTGTTCTTTGCATTATTTTCCCCATATTGTAGGATCCACGGTTTAGCATCTCATCCGCCACTTTGTCCGGTCTGCAGCATCTCACATGTTTGCATTTCAAGTGTTGTGTTATGTTTGATGCATAATGATGTGTGAGATTGAAATCTCGGATGACTTGTCACAGAGTCTCATCCAGACTTTAGACTGGCAATAGTGGAATTATTTTGTGATATTTTATTTCTACATATGTTTATATAGGATTTAAGTTCCCGTTTGGATATAACCCAAATATATAAATACAAAACAAACTTCTTCATTTGGAAAAATGAAAGTTCAGTAGAAATGCACATTTATGCAGACATTGACATTTCCAGGTCAGATTGGGGGGGAAATGATGCTATGAAATTTGAACCATCACTAGCACCCCAAGAACAAAGTGTCCAACATAGAATAAAACAGCTTCTTACACATGATGACTATAACTGTTGGGTATAAAAAATGATGCACTATCCAGAGAATATTTCCTCTAGACACATTTTTAATCCATGATTAAGGTGCCTTCAAATTGTTTTTAGCTTGAATCAAACCACTATCTTTATAGAAATTAAGGATCTCTCAATTTGATTAATAATGTAATTAAAGCTTAAATTCATTGTCATGCCCCCGTAGGAGTCTGAATCCGAGGAGGAAGACGAACAGCTGACAGGGAGCAGAAGAGAGGCTCCGTTGGCTGTGGAGGAAACTGGGGAAGGGCAAAGTAAGGCTGGGCAGAGCAGGGAAGAGGTAAAACAAGGAAGAGGGGGTTCAGAGAAAGACCAAGGCCCACCCCCTCTTCATCCTAGGGCACACAGGGAAGAACAGAGAGCAATGTGGATTGTGTGGCTTACGCGGGAGGAAAGGACCCTGATTCCCTTCACAAGGCACATCTCAAAAGGAAGTTTAAAGGAGAGGAAGTTTGGGAGGGGCGTTTGTCAGAAACAAGCATGTTGGTTCCTGTTATGGGTTCCTGGCATCCTCCCAACTGGTTTAATTTACTGCCGTGTTACTTCACTTCTGGAATTCCTTATCTTGCCCTGCCAGATTTATTACGTTATCTTATCTTGCTGAATTCATAGTTCAAAGTTTCCTGTTTATAATGTTTTGGACTAGAATATCTGTAGTCAAAGACTGATGCAGGTTCCTGGGAAAGTTTTTCTCCAGATCGGAAGGTAACCGGAACATTGGGGGCAAAGTTGGAGCTAATAAAGAAACCCCTACTTATTATTCTGGCTGTGTTGCCTTTGTGCCATGCCCCGGGTCATCACATTCACTCCAATGACATATTTGCTTTTGAACTTGTTTTCATCGCTTGAAAGAAATTAAGTCAATGGGACATTTAAGAAATACATTGCTAACAATCATGAAATCACATATTCATATGAAACAAGTTTAAGAAAATTATTGTTTTATTTTTATAATTTGGATAACAGCAATGAGCTCAGAATATGAAGTCATGCTTCTATACATTCTGGAAAATTTCTAATTTCAACATTCATTTGCTGTGTGTGGGTGAAGGATTACATGTTATGTAAATCTCCAACATTTCTATCTAAATCTCCAACCTTTCTATCTCAGCTACAGAGGCAGTAATATTCTTCATAGCATTCTGCAAACACGTTTGTTTTTTCAGAAGCCATAACAAAAATTAAGTCAGGTTGCACACGTTTTCTACAGCCCATAGCCAGACATTAATATTTTGAATATTTCTAGCTAATCAAATAAATGGCAACAACAAACTATTTCTGAAAAACCTTTCCAAGAAAATTGGAGGGACTTCTCCAGGGAGTCTCCAGGAATTGGACAGGGATGAACAGAAGAAGAAAAAAAACATAAACATTGGTCTTGAAGAATTTTATCTCCACCCATAATTCAATATTTCAGAGGGCAGGAGAAAAACATACAAATGTCTGAAATATGAACAGTATATGTTGTCTAACAAGATATACCAGTCATAGTGTTATGCAAGGGCTTGAGTATCACAAACTACAAAGCTCCTGACAGCTACAGGTATGCCTGAAAAAGACCTCACTTCAACTATCCTTCTGTAGTCTTAACAAACCATAATGTTATAGATAAATCAGGGATCACATGGGAGTCAAACTCGCGTCTCATTGCCATTACATGACGTTTCACGTTTTCCCTTCACGGACCTGGTGAGTATGGCCTGCGCATAACGAATGTGGCCGCGGCCCACCAGTTTGACACACCTGAGGTATCAGGACACAAATACTTAAGGGTGGAGTTTGTGACATGATATCACTATGACATCACTGGTTTCATTCTGATTCAATTACCAGATCTTTCAACAGGTATGAAACCCTTAAAAAATGATATCGGCTACAATTCCATCTACACAGGATTAAGATGATTTACCATTCAAGCCAACTTGAAAAGGAATTGCATCTGTGCAACAGAGGGGCATAGATTCTATATAGGTCAAAGGGAAGCCCATAGGCGCAGATTCCCGTTTATCATTTTGAATTAAGGAGGAATACACAGAAATTGATGCCCATGCACCATGGATAACTGGTACTTTGGAGGTCACTGGAAAGACACCCGTTTTTGGGGGGAGTTTACATGCTTTATTTATTTATTTATTTTTGTCAAGCAATTATAAGATAACAGGTATAAGTATAAACATAGTTATGAATACATGAGATCGATCCATATAAGAAAAATAAAAAAGAAACAATAGGACAGGGACAGTAGGCACGTTGGTGCCCTTATGCACACCCCCTACAGACCTCTTAGGAAAGGGGTGAGGTCAATAGTAGACAGTCTAAGGTTAAAGTTTTTGGGGTTGGGGGAAGAAACCAGAGAGTCAGGTAGAGTATTCCAGACATTGACCACTTTGTTTTCTGCAGTCGAGTTTGGTTAGGTTAACCTTGAGTTTGTATCTACCCTGTTTCTCCAACAATATGGCCTCCCCCAATAGGAAGTCCCAGCATGTTTTATAGGCATGAAATGAAATTAAGCCCCGCCCCCCAAATTAAGGCCTATATTAAAACATGCAAAATGGGGGGAATGGTGGGGGGGCTTGCCATTAGGAAGTACTTTTGTTGCACACCCAGATATGGTGCTGCCTGCGTTGACTCCGATATGAAGTGCCCCACCAATGCTGAGGTCAACATCCAAGCCATCGCCGCCCGCCCGAAGATGCAAGGGGGGGGGAATTAAGTCACCCCCCAAAAAGACAGCCTAGCCATTTTTTCAGGGCTCAAAATAAAATAAGACCCGGCCTTATTATATGAGAAACACGGTATTGTGTGCTCTTGTATTGTTATGGTTGAAGCTGAGGTATTCATTGACAGGTAGGATATTGCAATGTATAATTTTATATACTATACTTAGATCGGACCGAAGGCGGCGTAGTTCTAGGTTTTCTAGGTGTACAATTTCAAGTCTGGTGGCATAAGGTATTCTGCAACGAGTAGAGGAGTGGAGAACTCTTCTTGTGAAATATTTCTGGACTTTCTCATATCAGATACATAATGCCGGTTCCAGACTGATGAGCTATATTCAAGTATTGGTCTAGCAAATGTTTTGTATGCTCTAGTTAGTAGTGTGATATTACCAGAGAAGAAGCTACGTAGGATTAGATTAACAACTTTTAATGCCTTTTTGGCTATGTACTTACAGTGGGCTGTAGTACTTAGATTAGAGATGAGTACTCCAAGGTCCTTGACAGAGGACAGCTTTATGACAACGAACCATCAAAACAAGCGCACTGAAGGGGGGAGTAAGCCCTGCCTGTATAGGACATGAACTACATGTACTGATACATACACACATATCCAACATTATATTTTTTAAATCCACGTTTAAAAAACTTGCTCAAAAATAAACCCGAACTTTTATTAGAAGACCCGGCTTACAAGCAGGCACCCACCAAGAAACCCAGAAGTCTCAACAAAAGGAGCAAAAGTTGCAATAGTCTAAACAGCGCGATATCATCCCGCTTCACCGGCATACATCTCGACGGCAAAATTTCAAGAAACTAAAGAAAACGTCTGACCGAACGTCTGCAAACAGCCTAAAAACGCTGAGCGAAAACCTTTCTCCGGAAGTGACGTCTCAATCAGAACTCCGCTCTATCTACTTCAACCACAGCGAACAAAAGGGTTTTTTTTTTTCCAAGCCCGTTCGGAGACCGACATACACACCCTCCTCAACAAACCACCGGTCTCGGCTTCTGATTGGCTAGAAAAAACGTTGAAGGGACTGACTATTTTATCGTCCCCGCCCCTACATTTGCCGATTGGCCAAGTGCCTGGGCTTCGCTGGACACCGGTTGGTGATGGGAGACGTCAATCTTGGAGCGCTCCAGAAGGCTGGATGGAGAGTGGGGCCGAGTGGGGACTTTGGCTTTGGCTGCGACGAAGGCGGTGGCGGCGAGGACGGCGGCTGCGGGCGTTTGGCCGAGTTCCTGGTAGGTCGGCGCCAGATCGGACTTGCTTCTGGCGGCTTCGGGCCTTTGGCGGGGAAATGGCGCGCCGGAGCATCCCCGCGCGCGCCTGTGCCTTTGGGAACCGGCAAGGGGGAGGGAGGAGAGGCGGGAGCCACCTGGAGGCCCGTTGGCGTGAGGGCCCCTCTGCCCCAGAGAGCCGCGGGATACGAGGGAGGGAAAGCCGACGCGCTTCAGACCCGAGAGGACCGCGGGCAATTGTCGCGGTAGTCACCGTCGCAGCTCTGAGAGCTGGAGTTTTGTCAGGGGGGCTGATGGGGTTAATGGGGTGAAGGCGATGGGGCTCGAGGCCCTGGGCGGGTAGAGAGAAAGTCAGGGACTTGACTGAGGGGGATTCAAAGGAAGCGTGTTCTGGTTCGCGAACGGCGGTAAGTGAAATCTGTTAGTTGTCCGCCCCCCCGTCCCCCCCGCCAGGAAAAAAGGGGGCTTGCCTGCGTCCCGCTGTTGTTTAGAAACGGGGCTGCGAAATCTGAAGCTTAGAATAAACCAACCACTCGAGCGTTTTAAATAACCGGGCGGCTAGATCGATATCTAGCCGTCTAAGATGTGAAGTGGCCGTGAGAATCTAATAGTTGGGAGATAAGGGCGGGGATCGAGTAGATTAATTTCTTAGGCTTTGGCTTGGCTGCTTTCACAATTCCTTCTGGAAATTAAATTAGGCAAATGCTGCTAAACCTGTTTACTCCCGATACTCGTATTATAAGACCTAGGGATGCTGCGGTGCAAAATACTTCTCTCTGGATCAGGAGGCATTGTTGTGGCCAGGCAAGTTTTTAAGATGCCTCCGGAAATGGAGAAGTAAATGTAGTTATTAAGTTGTTAAGGGCAAAAATTAAACAGTGAAGTGTTGATAGATGCAACTGAATAACGTCAGAAGATGGATTGGAGGTACATATTCATAAGAAGGAGAAAGGTAGTATTTATACAACTATTGGTCAGTCTTGTTTTGGAAAACAACCTGGACCTAGGAAATAATGTTCTTGTATTTATTTCATTTTTAACTAGCTTATGAGATGACTGTTTTGGATTTCTTTTTGATCTGTATGACCAATGTCTGTTCAAGATTTGAAAAATGCCAATGGTTATTTTTTCATAGGCTCGTCCTGTTCAGCTGTTTTTATAGGCTAATAAAATCACATTTAATCATTTAGTGTGTAGATAGCCTTGTACCATCATAAGGGTATGTAAATAGAAGTATGTGTTTTCTTTAAAAGAAAGGGAAAAATAGTTTGCTTAAAACTCTTATATCAAAGCTGAAAATTACCTTCCTGTGATTACAAAAAACAAAAACAAATATTCAGTCTTATTGAAAATAAAATATTTGCACTCATTAAACAATTCTGATTACTTTTGTTAGTTTGTCATCACGCAGTCCAGTATCTTTGCACATAATGATACATATTATCTTAGTCGTTGTTGGAAGTATGCTGAGTAGCCAGAGAAGCACAGAAAATAAAAATTAGAAACTTTTCTGAATGCCTGTAAATCAAGATGCTACTGCAATAAAATATAGTATATCAAAAGTTTTTAATTTGAAATAATAAAATTAACTGCTGGTAGGGAAGTATCTAGCTACGTATTTTAAATATGTATTCCATATTCTGACGAAATGTTTGATACTAATGTTATAGTCTTGCACAGTATGTCTGAAGTCAGTTCTCCCCAATACTTTATTTAATCATGCATTTTGTAACTCACAAGACAGCGGAGTGGATGCTCTCTGGTGTCTGATTTTTTAGCACTGGCAAATAATTGCTGAAATGATTATTTGCCTGTAACTATGGATGTGTACAGGGACTTCAAACAGACACAGTGATTTGTTTTAGACATAATCTTTAAGAATTTATTTACTGATACCTTAATAGAATAGTGTTATTTTTAGTATTAAGATCATCACTAAATAATCTTGAATGTATCATTTCTTCATGTTTCATTCAGCTTTCAGTGTTGTTATTTCCATGTGTCCTGCCTCACACTGGCAGGGGATTTCCAAAAGGAGCAATTTAGTTTATGTCAAATGGAGATAGATTTCAGATGTAATGTTAAAGGGTGTATCCATATTAAATAACTGTAAATTCTATTTCTATACGTTTTTCTCAGTCTGTTAGAAATAGATTATATTTCCATAATAAAGATAACTTTTTCTATTACCAAAGATGTATTTCTAAGTGGAGAATAAGAATGTTCTTCTGTCAGTACAGACAAAAAACCAGATTGATATACAGTCCTAGAAAATATGGCAAGCTTGATTCTCAAAATGAAAGGTTTCAAATCTAAAATCCTTGATATAATGTAAACCTAATGTTATCAAGATTTGATATGATTTGGGGGCATGGCATGTAAGAGGTGAAATGTCTAGATTGAAAGGGATGATTACACTAGCCTTAATTATTATACCAACAATACATTATAAAGGTTTATATACAGTTGGTATCCATTCATATTAGGTAATAAATTAGGCTGATAAGATTTTCCATAAAGATACTGTGTTAGCCATCAGATGGGAAGAAACTTAGCAAAGCTTGCTTGTTTATTAATGCTTGAAAAAAAATATCTTGTTGCCATGAAACACATGACATTGTATCTTATTGCTGCCATAAAACACATGGGAGAAAGATAAATCAGCAATAAATAGCACAGATTTATAAGGAATATGAATAACTAGTATCTGGAGAGAATAAAACAGGAGTGCAGTAGGTCATTCTACCAAATCACTGCAGTTTCATTCTCTCAATTTGTGTTACTTTTTTGGCATATAGAAAACACTCATAATAGAATAGAATAATAGAATAACAGATTTGGAAGATACCTTGGAAGTATTCTAGTCCAACCCTCTGCTTAGGCAGGAAAGCCTATACCATTTCAGACAAATGGCTGCCCAATCTCTTCTTAACTTCCAGTGTTGGAGCATTTACAACTTCTGGAGGCAAGTTGTTCCACTGATTAATTGTTCTGTCAGGAAATTTCTTCTTCGTTCTAGGTTGCTTCTCTCCTTGATTAGTTTCCACCCATTGCTTCTTGTCCTTCCCTCAGGTGCTTTGGAGAATAGCTTGACTTCCTCTTCTTTGTGGCACTCCCTGAGATTTTTTTTAATCTCAGACTTGTGTTTAATAATGGGGCCTAACTATACTAACATATTGCTTCATGCTGTGTTATTGTTTAAATCAACAATTTAGAATCCTTAAGTGCTTCAAATTCTTTTCTGTCCAAATCTGATACTATGAACCAGGATGGATATGTCAGAAAATTCAAGCAGTTCTTCATTTCAGCATCAACTTGTTATTTGTGGAAAATTTAGGTATTTCTAAATTGTACCATTTAGCTTGTGTTCAGAGTATTCATGAATTAGTGTTGGGTTTCTTTGAGAACAGTCACTAATTCAAAGACTGCATAGATCTGCAGCCTGTCTCCAGTAGCTTAGATTTATTGTTTGGCATCACTGCTGGCTATTTCCTAAAACAGCTGAAAAATCACAGGGGAAAAAAGGGACAAATGGCAGAGAATGAATGATAGAAGAAAAGAAAAAAGTTTTTCTCTTTGTGACTAGAATGTTTATTAAACATCTAACTACTTTTACAGTTCTTAGCTATACACATAATCCATGAGAAATAATGCATGTAATTACTGTCTTTGAGACTTTCAGGAAAAATTTAAACAGTAAAAAAGCTATTTAAAAAGTATGTGTAAAAGAATAAAAAAATGGGTCTATAAAATTATATGTGTGTGCGCACACACACACACACACACACACACAAATATGTGTATCTATTGGGGACCCTGGCCTTGGCTGAACTGTTGACAACTTTAGCCCAATTTGATTGTTTTTGAGACCACTAAGAAACCTCAAACTCAATTCCCAGAGGAAAGTAGTATCAACCCACTTCCATAGAGTATCCAAGAAGACAATATTGCAGGGGTGTCAAACTTGATTTCATTGAGGGCCGCATCAGGGTTGTGTTTGACCTCTGGAGACCAGAATGGGCATGGCTAGCTCGACGTCACTCATGTTGGGGGCGCCTGTGGTGGTCTGAGCACTCTAACCTGCGAAAACGGGCGCCCGAGCTCCATTTTTGGCTGCAATGGTCTCCTGAAACAGTCTGTCAGTGAAAATGGAGCTCATGAGGGCCGCTTGCAGTTCTTGCGAGCTCCGCTTTTGGCTGCGACAACCTCCTGCAACCCTCAGCCAGCTAATACAGAGGTTGTGAGGGCTGTCCATGGCTCTCCTAAGCTCCATTTTCACTGGCAGAGGCACCTCAGGCCAGATCTAAGCACCAGCAGGCCAGATCTGTCCCCCGGGCCTTGAGTTTGACACCCCTGCAATATCATCATATCCATGAAGCCACCAGAAATTGAGCTCCATTCAATGAAGACTTTATCTGCGGCTTTATATGAACTTCATACTTGTTAAATGCTACTGCTTCCTGTATGTTTAAAAATTATCTACACAGGTCTAGAAAAATATAAATGTCTATGCAAATGTATATTTTTAATTCTTTATGTGAAAAATATGGATTCTGTTGTCAGAGATTTCCAGAAACGTGAAAAAAATTAAGCCTCAGAAGAGTTGTAATTTGTTTATCATAAGAATACTGTATGTGCTTGTAGATAAGCTGAGAATTGTGGCCAAAATACACCTCCAAAATCAGATCATTCATAAATATATATGATAATTCATTTTTAAAATAACCATATTTCCCATATATATTCATTGATAAGCCGACACACTGAATAAGCAGGGTCCTACATTTTTAATCAAAAAACCTATGAAAAATTGCACCTTAATTTATCCACAGATGACACATATTTATTTCATGGCATTTTGGTTAAACATTTGAGGGTTGGCTTATCCAACGATTGATTTATCCACAAGTATATATGGTATATATTTTGGTTTATATTTTTGTATTATGTGGGATTTATGAGGCAATTATCATATTTTCTTATTAAAATAAGAGAAAAAATAAAATTTCAGATGTTGGAAATAAATTGAAATACAAATTTGTCAGGAATCTTAGGTAAATTGATATTGGATTGCATCCTAAATTAACAGTTTAAAATGCAGTTTGGTTCCAATAATCCATGTAACTTAATAGGACTGTCTTTGAGATGATTGTGTTAATTACAGTGTTATTGCAAATAAACATTAATTCTAAATGAGTAATCTACCGGCATCAACATAAATAAAACTAGTATTTTAAGTCTTCTGATTGCAAAACTTATTTCTAAATATTTCATTAGACTGGGGGATTTTTCATCAGGATGAAGGAAGCTACATTTGTAAACTTACAAAGACGTTATTATGACCTACATATTCCATATCATATGAATGTCATACCACATGAACAAGTTTTATCACATGATACCAAACAGAAAATTTAACTGTTACGGTACTTAGATATAATAAACTTTAATAAAATTAATGTACAGAGCAGCCTTGTTTCAATAACAGGACAGATTAAGTTAAATTCCAGTTGGATATTTTATTCCTAGAAAAGATATCTAATTGTACATAGAAAAATTGTAGTTACTATATTTTTATATTAGCTATTTGTTATTTCTATGGCTTGCTAACACTTCATCTCCTAGTTTATGAATATTGTAATTTTAAATTTTTGTCCTCTAATGCAGGGGTCCCCAACCACCGGTCCGCGGACCGGTACCGGTCCGTGGAACAAGTCCGACCGGGCCACTGGTTTGCTGGGCGCCGCCATCTTGTTTTGATGAAAAAGTGCTTCCGGTGAGCTTTTCCGGGTAGAAAGTTCACCGGAAGCACTTTTTCATCAAAACAAGATGGATGCCGGTACCGGGCCGCGCCATAAAAAAGGTTGGGGATATCGGGCCGCGCCATAAAAAAGGTTGGGGATCACTGCTCTAATGTGTATAATGCTTAACAAACATAACTTTAATATTTATATTAATTTTCTGAAGCATCATTTAATCAGGGGTTTTCAAATATGTCCTGGGGTTGGTATTTTCATTTTTCTAATATCAATTAAGAACTGGGAGGGGGTGGGTTCTGCTTTTGATACACAATTTGTATTTTTGTAATTCTTGTATAGAAAAGATAGTTTGTTTTGCTGTGTGTGTGGAATAAAATGCACAATATTGATACTATCTCTGTATACCACAAGATGCAAATGCTATCATTCTGAAAAGAAATCACCCTGTATTTTGCGATACTTAAATATTTACTGTTTCTAAGAGTGAAACTATCTAAAAATACATTAATTTGTTGATTTAAATTACTTGGCAATTTACTGCTTAGTGAAAAATAAGGTGATTTCTTATTTTTAATTGTCTTCTGTAGTTTCAAAAACTTTCTGTAACAGTACTCTTTTTAAAAAGTTCATATCACTTTTTAACTTATTTTTTTTAAATACAGTTTGTATTGTTATTTATTTTATATAGAAATTATTTCATTGTAGAATATGTTTGAACTATTGTAACAACTTTAAAATGTGTATATAAAAGCATTTCATAGAAAAGTTGAGTTTTCCAACTATGACTAGACAATTTGTTTATTAATATTTGGTATGATGACAGTTTAAAATGTGCTGTTACGATGGATTTTACATTGGCACAATAGTAAAAAGATAATAATTGTGCTTCATTTGAAGAAGAATCTCTGCTGAGACCATAAGTAAATATTCTTTTACTCTCCTTGCCTTTCAGAATTTGAAATTTGAGTTAATATTTTACTGTAATGTGTATGGTAATCCATTTAATTCATTGGAAAATCAATAAAATCATATTTTTAATATTCTTATGTACTTAGCGCTTATGTTTAAAAGCATTGCAACTAGAAAAGTATTACACCTCAAGCAAGCACAACTGCACCCACATTTTTTTCAGAATCTCTGTGGAACAATACAAATATTAGCAAAAAGGTGATGGTGACTGTAGAGCAGTTTGAATGCAATAAACTCTCTCTTGAGATAAAATGTGCCCCAGCAAAGACTATTTTTCTAAAAGACAAAGTAGGTTTTAGAAATCCTGAGGTGGTAAAAGAATCGGTTTGTCTTGTCTACCGATTATTTTATATCCCTTTATTTTAAATATTTTAAATTATTAATGTAAATGTAGATTGAGTCCACTTTGGTAGAGATCTTAAATATTTATCTTGACTTCCATATGAATGCATGTGTTCTATCCAAACCAAGTAAGATATACATATATCATTTTGTGACCACATGAGAAAAGATGAATAATTAGGTTTTTTTTTCCTCAAGTAATTATAGTGATGATGAAAAATTAGAAGTACTTAGAAAACATTAAAATATCATTGTTGCAATTATGGGTATTGTATTGCATTCTTAAAATAGGCTTCACTATACAAACAGTATTTGGCTAAATTTCCAAATTTTTTTTCCAGATATTCAAGATGAATCTCGAAAAACTCAACAAAGCTGAATTACTGACACTTTTTAGTATCCTTGAAGGTGAATTAGAAGCCAGAGATCTTGTTATAGAAGCTTTAAAGGTAACCCATATATATTAGGAGAGATGAAATACAGCAGTTCTGATATATAAATATTACATAACAAATCCTGTAATAATAGTCTGTACTTTGGCATTTGATTGACAGCAAAAATAAATGATGTAATGGATGAGCATCTTGATGATTATGAAAAATAAGGATATCATATTTTAATTAAAGATATTCTCCCTTCGTGATACTAAAAATAGGGAGACTTGGAATTTCTTGTTCTCAATGCCACCAATGTGTTTCTGTTAAAGAGAAGATTTGGTAAAACAAACTGTTATCTCAACAGGCAGGAATAGTAATATAGATTCATGTTCTACTTCCTTTAAAAAATGCTTTATCTTCTAACAGTGTTTTTGTAATTCAGTTGATGAGTTTAGTGCCAAATATTGAATGTATGGATAGTCTTTATAATGATATAGTTTGGCTTTTGCTGGACTCTTGTTGAAATTTTAATTACAGTATTAGATTAATATCCAAATTGTATGGATATTCACTACACATGGTGGATATCCATACAATTTATGTATATCCTCTCTCTCTCTCTCTCTCTCTCTCTCTCTCTCTCTCTCTCTCTCTCTCTCTCTCTCTCCCCCTCCCTCCCTCCCTCCCTCCCTCTCATATGTTACTGCGGTAAAGACTTTACAAATTGCTGATGACTGCATTTTGTCAGTGCTATCTATTTCAGGATTACTAGATCTGGATTGAGCAAACAACTATCACTTGGTGGCAACTGAGACATACAAAACATCTACCCCTTAGCTGCCATTTAGTAATCAAAAATGTGGGGGCTCAGATCTGGAGCTCTGTTCTATTACTTCATATCAGTTTCCTCATTTTTTACAAGTTCCTTTTTTACAAAATAGATATCTAGGCACTGAATTTCCTTTGTCTTGGATGATTAGAAAGAATGACAGTGAAATCAGTAGAAGAGCTTTTTTTGTTTTTAGTTCTATGATCTTTTGTTGGCATAATTGTTCATGGTGTGTACTGGCTCCCTTTTTTCACTACTCTTATTTATCCAATCAAAAATGTTAATTTGAAGTCTTTTATAATTTTTATGCTTCTTCTTTGGATGTTTTCCTAATAACATTTTCATGTTAAGATCAGCTCAGGGTTTTATGGTTTTTAACACACTTCTTCTAGTACTTTTATTGTGTTTGAGGACTGGCATATGCCGTCTGTCAAAAATTGCTTCTTTTAAGAATTCAATTTGGATCTTTTTTTAAAAAAAAAAATCTGTGCACATTTTGACTTACAGAGGAACAACATCATAGCCATTTCCTCCTAAAGTTTCTATCATAGGTGTTGAGATTATATGTTGTCACTTCTAATGCTTCTTGCCTGGCATTTTCAGCTATAATCCTGTCTTTTCAACTGGCTATTTTCCTGGTTGTTGTTTTTTTAATTGTTCCTATCCTGTTCCTTTTTTGGATGATTAACATTTTCCGTCTCATTCCCTTTGAATGATTCATCCTAAAGTTAATATTCCCCAATGCATGCTGGCTTTTTCCTAGGGTCATTTTAACATGAATTTGACGTATTAAGATATGTTGATCCTCTCAAAATGTTTCTGTATGTTATTCCTGGAGCTGTGGATAACCATTAGAAGTCTAAACAAAGCAAGAATTCTGAATCTTGTCTCTAGCTACAGATAACTTTAAACAGCAACTGATGACAGAAGAATATAGCCTTATCCACCAATGTGCTACTTGATTTTAATTTGGTAGTCTTTTAAAGCAACATAAAAATATAGTAGAGTAAACTAAAATAATGCTAGTGCTTTGACTGTGGCACTATAGGTTTGGTCTTATCATATCCAGCAATATTACCTGGTTTACCAGAACTTTTTTTAATTGCTGAATCTTAGTGTACGCATAGACAGAATATGGAAATGTGATCTTCTTAACTTCAAAGAAAAAACAGAGAAAAATTACATACTGCATGAAAAGATACTGTTTTTTTTCTTTCTTTTTTTCTTTGCTTCTGTTTAGTACTATGAAGATCAGATAGATATGAGATTAATTGTTGAAGGCAATTAGTTTCTGTGTTTTTAGTACCGTGTTTCTCCAACAATACGGCCTCCACCAATAGGAAGCCCCAGCATGATTTATTGGCATAAAATCAAATTAAGCCCCTCCCCCCCAAATTAAGGCCCATATGCGAAATGGGGGAGGAATGGCGGGGGGAAGCGCGAAGAGCTCCGCCTGGGGCGCCTAGCACAGCTGACAGGCAGGCCCTCCTGCCCGGCGGCAGAGCTCTCACCAAGGCAGCAAGCGCCTCCCCGCCAGGCTCTCCGCTCATCCTGCCAGGGCCGCGCCAGAGCCGTGCGGGCTGGGCAGAGCCAGGAAACACCCGCGGCTCACTTTCCCAGCTCTGCCCAGCCCACACGGCTCCGAAAAGATCATTTCTTTAGATCTGGATTATCTATGGTTCAGTTATAAGTGGTTCAGCCTCTTGTTTTTTTTTTTTAATTTAATCTAGCCAGTCAGTAAACAAAATTTTGTTTTCTCACTCCCCTCATGTTCTGACCACAGATTGTATTTATTTTCAAACATCTGTCTCTAGAGAAAACTATGACTGAGGAAATTTGAGATTATGCAGCAAGCTATTTAAAGGAGATACTGTTTTAGAAAATGAACTTTTCTATTTGAGGACCGTAGAATATAATACAATTTTAAAGCCCACAGCTTGTTTTATATAAAGTCATGTTGAAAAAATACACATAACAGCTGTAGAATTCTGCTTCATCCTCAAGTTTTTATTTTTCAACTGGTGTAGATGCATTACATACTAAAAACATTCACTAAAGTCTTTTTTTACCCATGTGGTAGGCAAGGGAAAGGAGGAACTCAGTTGTTTCCTTAATACATAGAATAGTTTGTTTCATAAGCTAAATATCTCTTAATTTTGTATTTGTAGTAGCTGCAGTCTTTAGCTTCTATATTCTGTTTTGATGTTGATTATCACTATTCAAGCTAATCACAAGTTTTATCCAACCAATTTGATTAAAACTATCTAGGAAATCACCTTATGATTCACCTTTAACTCTAGCTTTTTTAAAAAACTAATACAAAAGCACAAATCTTTATACAATTTGGAGCCCACTTTGATGCTGTATTGGTCAAAAGATTTCATAGGACACCATATTTACAGACACTTTGTCCTTGAGGATCCAGCAAGGTAGAAATTCTTGCTCATGTCTTCATACAATCTTTTTATGATGCCTCAAATCATGTTCTGATCTCCTCAATCATTTCCAAATACAAGGGACACACTGATAAATTTTATGTTTATTACTTTTTAAGGGATTCTAATCCCACACTCACATATCAGAGGGCCAAATATCTTCACCAAATTATACAACAGCGCAAATTTAATTATATATGTTGTTTTATTATCCTATTGAGTTTTTCTCCCTTTCTCAATAATGAATTATTGCATTAAACTGTTTCTCTTTTTTATGTAAAGATTGGCCAAAAATTATAATAAAGGTATTGTGATATTAATTGGATTATGGAAACTCTGAGGTTTCTAGTTTCTTTTTCCTGGACCACAAAGGTTCTTTTTACTATTATTTCCCCTTTTTAGAAATTTTGTCTTTCACATTTAAAATAACAACATTGGGGTTTGGGGGAGGGGGCACAATTGTGCAGTTATATATTGAATCTCATCTACAACAGCTCTATTCATATAATTGATGTAATGTTAACTGTGTTTATTTATTTATTTAAACTTATGTAGCTGCCCATATCGCTCTTTGTGGCTCTCAAAACAACAAAAAGAAACTCATAAATAAAATTAAAAACAATTAACCAGTTAAAACAATTATCCAGAAGCATAAAAATCATGGGAGAACACCAACCTATAGTTCTCTAACAATATGGTCATATTACAATCTTTCCACCTCCAAGGGTTTTCCAGGCCTGGTGACATATTAGAGACTTCCTAAAGACCAGTAAGTTTGGAACCAATGTAACCTCAGGAGGAATGATGTTCCAAAGGTGGCACAGCAGAAAAAGCTAACTTCCTGAGTCCTGACAGATGGAATTGCTTTGTAGATGGGACCCACAATATGTTCCTTTTGCTAGACAAGAGGGTATGATAAAAAGAGATCTGCTCCAGAGCTGGTAATAGATTAATTTTGATACACAAAGTGTTAATGGTTTTGACCTAACTTAAACACTGATAATTGATTCACATTACTCCTCTTTTCAGATGAAAACATTAGAAATAAGGAGAAAAGTCATTTTTAGAAAAAGAAAGAAACCAGAATGTTTATAAATTTAAATTTTACTGAGTAGTTATGATAGCATTTTTACTGTTCTGACTCATGAAATGAAACAATTCAAAAATAGAAACAATAAAGGGAAGTTGCATATTCCTATTAAATAAATAGTAAGAACAGAATTAAATCAATGTCTTGGTCAAGGAATGTAATTATAGAAAATAAAAAAGAAATAGGTTTTCCTTAATATGGATTAAAATCAGGCTCTTAAACAGAATAAAACTAACCTAAAACTCTAGAAATTATCCAAAATATGATTTTACCAGAATTAGTTGCTCTTAGCTTTTGACTTCTACATTTCACTTTCAACTTCTAGTACAATGTGAAATACAGAGAATTTCAGTTCTGTTTTGGATTAATCACAATACCCATTGTCACACTTAAAAAAAAAAGTTGGCTAATTTATCTTTGGGTATTAAAATATATGCTTTATACTATAAAAGTAGATATTTCCTTTTTTAAAAATCAATTTTTTGTCAATTTTCTATTCTGAGTTGAAATATATATCTCACACATTACATGTACTTCTGAACTTGTGAGATACTGGCATGTCAGTGTGCAGGGTTTGCTAGATTAGAGAGCTTACTTAGCACAGAGTAAGGTGAGAAAAACCTGGTTTGGGTCATGCTTTCGACATCTTGATTAGAATATGCCCAAACTTTTCATATGATTTTGGAATTAATTATAAAGAACAGTTTTTGTGGGAAAT